TCAACTGGAGACTTATTCAAGGGAGGAATATCTTGGGTAGATGAGACAAAACATCATTGATTTTATCTGCTAACTCTTTACCAGCAAAAACCTGGTTGTTTACAACGAAATTAGAGAATGTTTTGTTCTTGGCGAAACCCGCAAGCTGTTTTATACATTGCCACCATTTTTTAGCATTGGGGTTTAGTTTTAACTCATCCATCTTTTTCTTAAGGAAGGTTGACTTGAGTCTCTTACTTTCTCTATTAGCAAGATTTCTCAATCTACGATATAACGCACTTTTGCCCTGACGAAACGCTCTTTGTCTATTTTCTATAATTTTCTTAAATCCGACTGTAACCCATGGTTTATCACGATCGTGCAACTTTACAATTTTACTAGGGAAAAAACAGTCCAAACCAGTATTTATAACTGTTTGAAAAAAATCTAACTTTTGTTCACATGATTCAGCGCGGTACAAGTTGTTCCAGTTTATATCAGCTAGCCACTTACCGAATGCTCTCCTGTCATGATTGTTACCTTGTCTAGTTTTCACTTTTGATGTACCATATTTAGCTGTATTTTTATTAAAGGACCACAGTACGGAATTATGGTCACTTTGGCTGACAGGGGGTAATAACACCGGAGAGTTACAACAGGAAGTCATATTTGTCAAAATTAAGTCCAATGTGGAATTTCCTCTTGTGGGTTCTTTAACTATCTGTTTCAAAGTAAAATGACGTAGTAGGGAGGAAATTGGGCATTTATTAAAGTCTCCAATGAGAAAAATACCAGCGTTGGGGTACAATACAAGAGCAGCGTCAAGTTTAGATGTTAGGTGATCGATTAAGGCACAGTTATCATTGGAGGGAGGGTGATAGACCACACAGATAATCAGGCAGGAAAAGCCACGGAAAAGTTTATTTGGTCTCAGGTAAAGCCAAAGTGATTCAAAATTGTCTTCATGCAAATCTGTTAAGATTTTAAAAGGAATCTGGTCTTTAATATAAGCACAAACGCCACCCCCGATTCTAGAAATTCTATCACGCCGAACTAAGGAAAAGCCACTAATTTCAACGGCACCGTCATCAATATTTTCATTTAGCCATGTCTCAGTTATGAAGGCCAACCCAACCTCATTTATATGCAAAATAGTTTTCAGTTCATCAATCTTAGGTAAAAGTGATCGAGAGTTCGCCAGAAAGAAAGTTAATAACTTTCGCGGAAGGCGAAGGGAAACGGAGGTTGGACAGGGATTTCCATTAAGGTTTTCGGGCAATGTTGAAAAAACCGAGCAAACTGGGAGTAACTTTGGGGACTTCGGTTGACACTCATTCCGTGTGTTCTTAAATGTGGGACCATAGGAGGACGATGGTAAGGATGGTAAGAGAAAAAAGGTGGGTTGGGATGGTTATTAACAGGCCGTGATGCCGTTCTGTTATGATTGGTACTGTGGGAAAAATCACACCCGCTACCCTTTAAGCAATAGCCTCGATTTTGCAAAAAGGGACAGGGCACCAAATGTTTTTGTTCACCACGTGGATGTTTAAAATCGCAACGCCTTCCCTTTGCGCACCACCCTCGACGCTTAAGAAATGGGCAGGGTATAGTGCTTTTTCCAGTATTATTATCTTCTTTTTCAAGTTGTGATTTTAGGGGCTTCGAGGTTCTATTCACTAATGTACCAGTATCTTTTTTCTGTTTACTCGGTACTAGTATTTGCTTTGAAGGCGACTCATTAATATTCCCTAGGTCAATGTCATTAGTATTCGGGTCATTGAGTTGTTGACTCAGGTTACTAAGGTCGATATTACTAGTATTCACCTCAGTGGCTTGTTGTCTAACATGTAATGGGATTTGATTTTGTTCCTGAGGTGTGCGTGTTCCAACAACGTTAAAGCTCGAATTCCTAGGGTCAATATCAATAGTATTCGAGACTATAGATTGTTGAAGATCAATATTATTTACAATTAGATTAGCACTTAGTTCGCCATCACGAGATCATGAGTGCAACATCCGATTATATATATTGAATCAGTATATATAGAACTGTGACATCACTGATTCAATACATTATATTGAATCAGTGATGTCACAGTTCTATATTTGGCCAGCTTCGAACTGATAGGGATGCAACCACTTGAAAAATACAAGCAGAACTTCGACGTTTCGAGCGAAGGTCCTTCGTCGGGAAATTAGTAGCCAATCAATTGATATTATCGAGAATTCTTTTAAAAAATAACATCGCTTATTGGATCTCGAATAGCGAGCGGTGAGCGGCGAAGAACCGCGAAAAAAAACTGGAAAGGACTTTGGGAAAGTCTAATTGGATTCATTTAAGCATTACAAAATTCAATTTTCAAACCCGTTGAAAGTTCGGAACAGAGTAAATAAAACATGGCAATCAAAATGACATACACGTTTCATTTCACAGGTGAAAATTTGCAAATTCATGGAATGAAAAGATGATAGATAATGGAGAAAGTTTCAGCTATTCTGCTTTCCTCGTAATTTTCTATAAAATAAATATGTTTATACAAAATGGTACAAGTTTGCTTCTAACGTATTTTAGGATTGACGTAAAACCTCATGTCAACTATATCAAACAAAGTCTGGGTCACACAAATCCGGTGAGTTTATAAACGTTGTGCGTGCTCTTTTGATTTTATTGTGAATACAGTAGTCCTTCAATACGGTCCTCCTCAAAAGTCCCCCTCCCCTCTCTGGTAAGGGCAAGAAATTTATTCAGCCTCCATCTCTATTACCCTTCTTAATGTTCCATCACCACACCCACAACCATCATCCCCCACTGCCATCACCCTCAACGCCATTACCGCCATCATCCCCACCGCCGTCACCATCACTTTTCTAATGTTAATCGGGAGGTGTCTTGTTGCATGCTCGTAGTCATATAGTCATTAATCAAGTCTAACGCGTTTAATGAACAAACCTATTGATATAATGTATTTTCTGTTGGCAGGCTGTACGTTCCTCTGCTATATCAGCACTTGGTGTGATCTTCATGTATACTGGTCCCAGTCTTCGTATGTTCTTTGAAAGTGAAAAAGCGACACTACTACAGCAAATTGATAGTGAATTTGAAAAGGTTTGTTTTTGTTATAGTATATAGGTAGTTTCGAGTGCAATTTGGATAAAACATGTACGAGTGAGTTTTTCCAAGACCATCAAATTGAAAAACTTCCGAGTGCTTGGCTTATCCAAATTTCACTATAGAAACCATCCATTATACGTATATTATAGTAATACACAAACAAATGTTCGAAACAATAGCTGTTATCGTAATTGAATACGCCGCTGCGGCGAACCAGCGGTATCTCAGTGGAAGTACGCACGAAAACGAGGCTAAAGGGTCAAAAATAATGCAGATACCTCCGTAGCATAGACGTATTCAATTACAATAACAGCTATTGTAATTTTTACTCAGTTTCGTCTTTCAGCGAACCGTCCATTGTTTTTCTGCTTTGTTATAACACATTTCTCAACGTTAACGGTTTGAAAATTTCTCTCAACCATCTATAAGTTTGTTACTCTTGTTTAAGGTAAAGTATTTTCCATTTTAAGACGGGGATATGGAGCCATATCGACCCGAACTCAACTTTTAGTTTATGTAGCGTGGCCGCCATGTTTTAAGTTGATTTTAGATTGACTTTAGGTTCCATTGTTCATCCACCAATCAGATCAGTTGGTTCATATTTTTGCACTGTTGTCAGTGTAAAATAACTTCTATTTAGGGGCGGACCATTAGAAATCCCGGGAGGGGGGGTATAAAATTTTTGCGGCACGAATTTTTTTTCACTCTCATGTCTCTGCAGGAATTTTTTTTAATGCATTTAACCTCTGCACAATTTTTTTTTCAAGACTACTTGTACTTTGCTGTTTGCTTGCACGAATTTTTTTTCTCTGACGTAATGGCTGCACGAATTTTTTTTCCAGGCATTTTTCTTTGCACGAATTTTTTTTTGGGAATTTCCCCCCCCCCCCCTCCCGGGATTTTTAATGGTCCACCCCTTAAGACTTAAGAGTTCTTCTAACTATATCAACTAAAACGTTTTTGTTGATTTCCTTTGAGTTACTATTTTATACAAACGCATGAATATTTCAATTCTATAATATGAAAGAAAGTGCTGAACTGGAGTAGCATCATTGCATTACTTTGGCGACCCATATAGGGTACTAGTAGTAGTAAAGACTTTATTTTGGCAGGGTAGCCCATTCAGCCGAAGCTGGTATCCAGAAGGGCCGAAATCGTAAAATGCCTGTGTTTCTGTTACAAGACACTGCTGCACACTGGCATAGACAATTGTCTTGATTTCTTCTTTGGAACTTTTTATTAGACAATTTTTGTTTTCCTGTGGATAAATTAGAATAAATGCGCGGCAAAAGTTGTATTACTTTCTGATACTCGCTATCAGCAACTAGAACCGATCGCGTAATCCAAGCATGCAGATTTAAAATGACATCGTATAAATGAGAAGTCATTGGAGGTTTATATGCATGTTAGTTCGTTGCATTCTTTGCTTATAGCGTTTTGACAAAATAAAGTAGTTAAGCAAACCGCTTATGTAAATTTATTGTAATAATGAAAAGCAACACTTATAACCTGGGATTTTCAATCGCTATCTTCGCTGTGATTGTTTCCTATAAACAGTTATATAAACTCTTCAAACGCTATCACTTTGGTTTTTGGCGAAAACGGAATATCTTTTTGCGCAGGAAGATTTTTCGAAGACGCATTAGGTCTCATTACACAAAGAAACATGATACACAATTGCCAATATATATATATATATATATATATATATATATATATATATATATATATATATATATATATATATATATATATATATATATATATATATATATATATATATATATATATATATATATTAATAATTCAAGCACGTTAGGTGAAAGAACGGCCCGAAAATAAGTAAAACACACACCAAATCATTGTGGGAGAATGGGTTCAGGGTGAAGTGAACCAATTATATACATTATACTCTCAAACTCTGGTCAATCCAAAGACTCATTAAGCCTTATATTTTCATCCCGCAGGCGTATATATAAGACCTGCTAGGAGAGACTGAATGCTCCATAGGAGCTCTGCCCGAAGGGTAGCGACCCCCTCTGACATAGACCTGAACCAAGGGGTGATAATCCCCTTGGACAGTACCTACGATTCGACTGATTATATTTACATAAATAACCTGAGTCTATGGGCCTGAAGTTGACCATTGGGAACACTTCAACCCCGAACCAAAATTTATTTGTTTGAACATTCAAGTATTTACATAGCGATAATTTTCCATGAGAAAATTGTTCGATAGTCTTTCTTGACAAATTGTTCTTGAACAGTCCTTGCATAACATTAGTTAGTACCCATACAATGCACCAGATACCAGGAACATGAACGGGTGGGTGGGTGGAAATTTTCTTTCTCGGTAACAAGACATTGCTCTTTGTTGGGATATTTGTCAAAGTGAACTCCCTTATCACATTGACCTTTGTTCTGTGTGTTCGTTGTTGACATATGATTGGTCAGTTGATCTTTCATTCGGTTTTACACATGCCCAGAGAAACATTTGAACTTTGGACTATTGGATATCGCCTTTTTGTGGCTGTTGACAAGCTTATCCTGTTACTATGAGATTATAACCAGGTTTGAAGGTGACAAACGTGTTGTCTCATTAACTTGAATTTATATACTGTTAGATATAAATTTGCTTATATATATATATATATATATATATATATATATATATATATATATATATATATATATATATATATATATATATATATATATATATACCATATTTAAAAAACCACAACAGTCTGTTTCATCCGTATAGGAATCATCAGGTGGTGAATAATTTCGAAATTGTAGGTTGCTTTTATGCTGTCGAAAGAATGTGCGGAATGCGTGTAAGCGAAACAATGCTTAGGTGAAACAATGCATGCATGCTTGGGTCATTAGGTTTTGTTAACGACCTTGTTTACTCGAAACCGGTTTTTGTGACGACATTTGCCGAAAATTTCGCTTCTTTTATAATTTATTGAGTAAATTGTCTTTGTTTATGTCTTTCAAAATGCAAAGTTTTTCTTCCAAACATAAATTGCAGCGTTTTGATCCCCCTGTGTACGAAATAGCGTGTTTTAAAATTGACCATTTGATGGTATAATCCTGATTGTTTTCTTTTAATTTCCAAATATGTTTCGAAAGTTCCGTTTTGTTTGAGTCTTTTTTATGACGAAAAGATGAAGTGTGGTTTGCATAACGTTCCTTAAATGTAGTCGCTGTCATACCAATGTAGTGTTTAGTGTTGTTCGTTGTGACTGTTGCTTTGTAAATAATGTTGCTGGTCATGCATTGTTTGGGTAGTGGGCAAGTGTTTTTGTTGTCGCAGTTACAGTTGTCAGTTTCCGTATTCTGTGATTGACTGTTCCTAATTATATGTGCGTTGTGTTTGGTGATTATAGACTTAACGTTGTTCATGCAACTGTAGCTTACTTTTAAAGTGTTCCTGTTAAAAATCTTGTGTAGTTTGTGCTGTAGTGGGAAGTGTTTGTCAATTAAACTTAAGAATTCCCGTCCTATGTTCGTGTTAACACTATTACTAAAAGGTGGGTTGAACCAAATTATGTTGCGTTGCCTATTCCTACGTGTCCGTTGCGGTGCATCCTCAGTGTACGTAAATTCATGATCAAAGTTACTATGTGTAAGAGCGTTCTGGTAAATAGGTGTGGATTCCTTAAATGTTTGTTCGTCCGATGAGAGAAGTGCAATGCGTTTGTTGATAGCTGTAGGTAATTGTCTTGTAATGCTTGGTGGATGGTTTGAGTGTCGACGTCTGTTGATGTACAATGGATCGTCATTGGGTTTCCTGTATGGTTTGTGTTTTGCGTTGATCAGGTCGAAAGTAACATCTAAAAAATTTACAACGTTCATATTTACTTCGGCGGTGATTTTTAGGTCAAATTGCTCGAAAATTTTGTGTAGCTCTTTTCTAGTTTTGTCTAGTAAACGGGCGGATTTGCTTTCTATAATAGCCAAACCATCATCTCTATAAAGGCCGATGTTTTCCTTGCCAAACCTCTTACCTAAGTGATTTAAAATGAAAAGGCCTACCAGCTCACAAATTTCAGCGCCGTCGAAACTACCCATAGTGACGTCAAATAAACTGTTGCTTCCGTCTTTTTTCTCCATAATTTGCCGTTGCCGAAAAGTAGAGATTTTCTTGCATGTTTTCTTATTGAAATATCGTTTTCGCTAATAGTAGTCAAATCCGAAGCCCAGGCCAATGCTTCATTGAAAAGTTTTTCGGAAATGGATGGGTAAAAATCCACAATATGAAATGAAGTAAAACTGTGCCTGTCTTTATCGTTTATATTGCCAAACCATGAAATTACTTGTTGCGTATTCCTCCATTCATTTGAATTTAGTTTTTGTCTCAAATTGGAATTGATTTTATCTAAAATGACCTTACATAGTTTTCCGGATTCGCTTTTTGCGGGATTAATTAATCGACATTTTGGATTGTTCTCGAAATTTTCTTTGTGATCTTTTAAAGATATAAATGCTTCGCATTTTTTCATTCGTTCAATTCAGTCGCCAATTACTCGAAATTTCTTTCAATTCGCTGTTAATTTCATCTATAAAGTCCTCTGATTCCTTTTTTATACGTTTTCGTCATGTTAAAATGTGAGTTGTTATCTGTTTCGTGATGTTGTCATGTAAGAGTTCATGTGTTCAGTGATGTTTCGTAAATGTTTCTAGTTTTGTCCGCGAAAATGAAAACATTGGGGGATAAATTAATTTTCTTCAAATCGATCGTTGGGCAAAGACGTCTGAAACAAAACGGAACTTTCGAAACATATTTGGAAATTAAAAGAAAACTATCAGGATTATACCATCAAATGGTCAATTTTGAAACACGCTATTTCGTACACAAGGGGATCAAAACGCTGCAAAAACACGTGGGAAACCACGTTGATATATATATATATATATATATATATATATATATATATATATATATATATATATATATATATATATATATATATATATATATATATATA